TCCACTCACCAACATTAATTGATTGTATGTAGAAACGTTTACAGTCGCTATAAGAAATCTGGCTTGCGTCTTTTAAGAACATACGTAAAAAAATGGGAGAGAGCGGAAAAATAAAACACACGTAGGTTCAAACGCACCTGAACCGGAGTTTAAACAATAATAAGCTGTCTAGATAGATAGATAGAGGGACACGATCTCCGATCCTTTCATGCGATCCTACAGTAAAGTAACACAATAAATTGTTTGCGTTAGTATTAATTGCATTTTTTTATTTTTTTTTGCTAAGAAATTGGAAGTGCTTATTTTATTTGAAAATTATTCAACAGCATAAGATGCAGCTCTCATCAGTCATTCGTAATTTTTCTTTCAAGAGTCTGAAATCTGTGCGAAGCGTCACTTGCGGGCAGGTGGTGCGAATTCGCGCACTACATAACCTCATTGTGCAACAAAATCACGAATCACACTTTGATATTTTAATTTGGAGAAGGGAAGGGATGTTATCTTTTCTTGAGATTTTACTTTTTTACTATTTGTTATCTGCCATTTCTCAGGTCACTTGATGGTGAGAAAACAAGGTGTTTGGGGCAAACTTTGTCTTCAAAACCCTGCAGAATCACACTCAAAGCTTCATTACAAGATCAAAACCTTGGGCCAGACAGCGTGTAAAAGTCTATCCTTCAGGTATGAATACTTTTCCTTCTCAAAAGAATGAATTGTATGTAGGTACACCTAATTTTTCCCTGTAATTTTTAAAGTATCCTAAATTCAATAGCATTTGCGTGAGAGTGTAACAGTCCGCACATGCGATTCCGCAAGTAGAAGAGCACTTTGTCAGCATATGTATTACAATTGTTTAATCCCTACATAATTGAAAATTTCAAGAATTCAATATCCTTCATTAAGATTGTTTTCAGTGGGTGAGAATAGTTTCCGAAATTTTCACATTCACTTCATGAGTTTTAACTTTCATAATTTATCAATTTTCCCCCGTAATTAATGTCATTATTGGCTTTCTAAATCTGAAAGAGGGAGTGAAAAACCAGCAAATAATGTTCAAATAACTACAAATGTTGACATTTTGACAAACAAAAAATGCCGAGAAGGGAACTATATGCAATTGGAAGCTGATAACACAATCTAAATCCAATGTAACGACGTATTGTGGCGCACTAGTTGGAGGGCGTGCAATGGGCGGAGATGTCCGTAAATTGAATTCATATTTAACTCATTTTTCTCAACAGGGAGCTGGATTTCGTCGAACCAGACCAGGACCTCAGTGGTGAAACTCAGAATTCTTCATCAGTCTATTACGATCTCATATCATCCAACTGGACCACAATCAGGTCAGTGCACCCTCGCCATCGCTTTTCACTGTTTACACGCATCTATGATTAAAAAATAATCAACAAACCAGGTCTTAGTATCCAGGTCTTTTTTACACCATCAAGCACATGCTCGCTGACCGCTGCCCGCGTCCGGCCAACAGTCCAAAGCACTCCCGTCGGTCTTCTGGTCAAATGCGCGTGGACAAACTTGTAGTTTCCCTACGAAGGGACGTAACTCCATTCCAAGGTTGCAAAATTGACTCAGAAATTTTAATTCTTTACAAAAGTATACCTGAGTGCTTTTTGTCGATTTTTTTGTTTATAATCGCATGAAATTAGAGAAAAACGCTAGCGAAATTTAAAATTCGGAAAGACCAGGATTCTCCCGGTAAACATGCAAGTTGTGAGGGAAAATTCCTGCAAAAGATTCAAAATAACCTCTAAAAGTACTCTCTAAATCGAAAGAACTTTTAAAGTGCTCGGCCATTAGGGAACGCTTTTTAATTTCAACCTGCCTCTAGAATTCTAGTGTACTAGTGGCAATGCGTTCACATAGCGCAGCAGCTCAACAACAAGATGGAGGAGGAATATTTAGAATAGATTAATCTGCGATGCCTTTATTTAATGCTTCCGAAGTCAATTAAGGCACGGTGGACGATAATCGTTTTTTTATAATTTACTTTTTAGCGGTAGCGTAGTTTTCTCAAAACTGATAGTTGAAATTTTGGTGAGCGAGTTCTTTCATCTCAACGGTGCTCATCGTTTTCGGGGAACTTAAAAACGCGCCTACATATATAAAAAGCACTTCTCTAATACAAACGTATTAGATCTTTAAGAGAAGGGTTTCTACCCGTTGTTTTAGTGTTACATTAGTTGAACGACGATGTAAGCAACAATGACTTCCGAGAAAGTCTTTCCGTAATTTATTGATTTTGAGAATCGCTAATGCGAGAACCTTGCCCGGTGGCAAGGTTACACCTGCACCGTGACGCATCATCGATGCACTCTCCCCCAGGATTATTACGGACACCGTGTATTTAAAAATGACGGAGTTTCCATTCAAACAAGATTTGACTTCAGTCATTATTGCATGGAAGGCCTGAGCAACATCAACGTCACAATCGCGTCTCGCGTGCAACGGCCAGCAATTTTCCGCCGTCAATCAAAAATCACTCTCTCGACAGCATTAGCCGGCGTAGACAAAACTTGTCAAAAATTTACCTCGTGAGCCGATAGGTTGTGGTTTTTTTCTTCCACGCTATTTTTCACTTTTCGATGCCTAAGTCATTTTTTTCTAGTGAGCGCTTTAAGTCCAGGTAACAGTCGTTTCCTGTTCTTTCATCCTTCATAGAAACAGGCAGCGTGGATACCGTAGATTTTAATAGGCGAAGTTTCGCGACTGGATTCGGTTGATTTTTTGGATGGATGACTGTTGTATCTTCGTTGAAATTTGAACCAATCAGTTTTTTCAACCAAATTCTGAAAACAACGAGCCAAATCCCGGATCAGGTTTAAAAGAGCGCGCCAATTGGCCAATGAAACATGACTTAATTCACGAATAGTGTCGGTAAATGACGACATACTAAGTATATTTAATCGAACGCGCTAATTGCCTACATCGAATTAAATCTGTAGCGAACATTCGAAGAACTTCAAATAATAAGATATCTCTTTGATTGCAGTAACACTTCTTTCCAAAGGACAACTTGTCCTCACAGACAAGTCATAAAAATCAAATGCAAGGATCTACAATGCGGGGTGCGACCCCAAGCAAGTGGTCACACAGGGAAGTAAGTACTATTTATCAAAAACCCAATGATTATTAAGTCAAATGATTTTATTTTCGCCCGACGAATGAAGTTCATAAAGCTTCCGGGACCGCCTCATCAATAACCCCTCTGATCAAATCCACCGAGAAGCAATTTTAAAAACTTTTTCTCCTAAAACATTTTTGTTTCAGGAGACTCTTTTTGGATTTCTTCATATACCTATGATTTACATATCGTGAAAATTACGCAGGAAAATAATTAAAAAACCTACCATTCTTAAGTATTTCATTACATTTATTTTTGAAAGTTTTTAATTAACGGAATTTATCCACTGTAAATTTTACTTTCAAAAATTTCCTAAACCCTAAATTTTAACAAAACCAAAATAGTCTTTTAAAGTGTATGCTTCTTTTCAAAAGTTTTTCCCAACAAACGTTGCTGCTGGGTAGGTTAAAGAAAAACTGAAAAACTTTTTACCTCTAATGACAGGCTAACTAGTTACTCATATGTAATTTTTCTCCTTCCTCTTCCTTTCCAGTTCATTGCGGTACTCGGGGGCATCGAAGCGGCACTCGCGCATCGTTGGTGGTGGCAACGCTGGCCTTGGATCTTGGCCGTGGCAAGCAGCTCTCTACAAGGAGGGTGAATTTCAATGCGGCGCAGCCCTTATCAACGCTAAATGGCTCCTCTCGGCTGGACATTGCTTTTACAAGTAAGATTAGAGACAATATCAGCTCTGCCATTTTATTTTATCAAAAGATTCCGAAATAATTCCGATTTCCGGAAACATATTCCAATTTGCCAAAGTTCCTAGAAAAATTCCGGGGGAAAATTCTAAAATACGCCCGGATTAAGCTCCGAAGATCGTCAAATTTGATCAAAAAGTCCCTAAATTTGATCAAGTAGATGATCAAACTGGCGAAAAACAGCAAATTTTGAGGAAATTCCGTAAATAGCTAAAAATTCCGGGGATTCAGAAGAACTCCATGGAAAATTATCAATTATCAGGGAGTTCGCGAAGAACGACTTAATAATCAATTATTTATGATAGTTTCAAATGGAAAGATACCGACAATCGTTATTTCACGCCCCGACTCTGCAGCGCTTGTGTCCACCTAATAACAAATTGATGAAAATGGAGTTGAGCAAGCTTTTCAGCAAACCTAACTTAATCGTTGCCATCGATGTTGATAAAGTGTGCACAAAAAAATCTACCCGCCTTATAGTGATGCGCACAAAAAGTGCGCGAGTCAAAATCGCGTCAAGTAAGTGAAATGAACTAAACGAAAAAATTGTGGGAAGAAATGAACTCCTTTTTACAAGATATTTGCGTTCATTAATAAGTAGAAAAAGCATGAAGCCATCGTTAATGTCGTGGGACGCGAAGCAAGAGCGGAACGCTAAGTTGATGATAACGCCCTGATGCAACTATTCAGGCTCGAAGGATGTCCATGTTGCGTGCACATGAATTGAAGGCGCTTCGACTTGCTTGATGAAATCGCTTGGATGCAACTATTCGTGCTCGGAGAATGTCTGTCGCATGAACCAAATTGAAGGCGCGTCAGCTGCCTTGACATCAACGCTTGGATTACGAGTCAACGCAATGTACTTCACGGATGTCATTAAACGGAAAATAGTGCTTGATGAAATATGTTTTACTTTTCCACACATGCGTTTCAGTCTCCAAGCTTTGCTGTATCTTCTCTGACTCATTAAGGTGTTGGAAAAGGAACCTTCACCATGACTATCATGGCCAACTGGACTTTACGAATAGGAAGTTGTCACGTCATAAAATGGTTTACTTTTCTTGCGCCGCGTTTAAGTCTCCGAGCGCACCTGCATCTTTTCCAACTCAGGAAGGTGTTGGGGAAGAACATACCGATGTTTTAACAATGTTTTTTACCGTGGCTATTACGACCAACTAGACTGGACGAATTTGTCACGTCATGAAATGGTTTACTTTTCTTACGCTGCGTTTAAGTCTCCAAGCGCACCTGTCTCTTTCCCAACACCTGTTGGGAAAGAACGCATATTGTTTTTACCAATGTTTTAACAATGTTTTTTTACCGTGGTTATTATTACCAACTTATTTAATTTAAAATGTGACGAAAAAACATTAAAATTTGCCATTTTAGTCAAAAATGTCATGTCTGACGTCTCTCATTGGCTTGATCCACTGTGCGTCGTGACCTCAAGTCATTTACAAATCCAAATGATCTCTCCGAACCGAGAATGTTGTTATTTCGCGTTCTACTTCCTAGATTACCACTAAATATCGGTTACCCTTTCTGACTGTGCAGCGCTCAAGAGGATTACTGGGTGGCGCGGCTAGGGGCGCTGCGGCGTGGCGTGAACTTCGCTTCGCCGTACGAGCAAGTGCGGACCATCTCGCGGATCATGCTCCACCCGGAGTACCAGGCCATCAGCTTCATGAACGACATCTCCCTCCTGGAGCTCAACGAGCCCGTCCAGACGAGCCACTACATCCGCCCCATCTGCCTCCCACCGCCCGCCTCCACCCTCGAAGATGGCACCATGTGTACCGTCGTCGGCTGGGGACAGCTCTTCGAGATCGACAGGGTCTTTCGTGAGTAGCCTCCTTTTCCCCGAGCAGTATTTTGTGACTTAAATGTTGCAGTGTGCAATACTACCGTGCTAAGTAAAAACGCCGTATGAACATTCGGGAGTTGCAACATTTTTCCCGTTAAAATGCCTATTATTGAGGAAAGTTACGAATATTTTCTCTTGAAATTCTCAAATAATTTAGATCTAGTTACGAGGAAAATTCTCTGACAGAATTGAACGGAAAATATTTACGAGTTTTCCTGAAAGTGTGTATTGAATCAAAGGAAATTAGGCAACTGACGAAGTTTCATACGGCGTTTTTCCTGAGCACGGCAGAGTAGTATTTTGTCAAGGAAAACCAGCGCCAAAAGGAAAAAGACTGTGCGAACATTCGAGAGTTGCCAAATTTCTCTGGATAAAACATGTTTTTTGAGGAAAGTTATACTCATTTTCCTTCAAAATTTTTGGATATTTTAATTTAAGTCGGAAAAAATTGAAAAAATTTCCCAGTAAGTTCGTATTCATTGAAGGAAATATGACAACTTCTGGAGGCTTATACGGCGTTTTTCCTTAGCATGACAGTATTGTACCATCACCGCGATTTTGTGCCAACATTTTTTAGATTTATTCTCAATATTTGACACAATTTTTTTATTGAGACAAGATTTTAATTTAATTAGGAAAAATCCGAAATCTTTGAGGGCCTCAAAATTTGAGTATTTATTTAGAAGAAGGGATAGTTTCGGTGCGCCCGTTTTCTATCAAAAACCATTGATAGTTAATATTTTGGACCAGATTTTAATCCCATATCTGAAAAATTTGGCTAGAGAAGCAAGAAAAGAGGATGAAGATGGAGACGAGGTGTTTTAAGATACCCGAGTACCAGTGGCGAGTCGCAATCGATCGATGTGCCATTTAAATCAATGGAAAAGAATCAATCATCAGGGTGTTCGCAACGAACGCTTAAATTATCGATTCTTTCCCATAGTTTCAAATGGTAAAATATAGAACGCCGACGATTCACTCTTCGCATCTACCAAGTATTTTTCTATGTAACGAGGGGAAACTCAAAGTTACCGCTTAGAAGTTAAACGTAGGTAGGTTATTGTTTTCTGCAGCATGTCACTTACGAGACTATTAAACGCCTTGTGTATAGAAATCAGTTAAATATTTGCCTCGAAAGTGGTTCATTGCATCCATTTACCCTACTAATTGTAAGGGTAAACAAGTGTTGTGTTTTTCACTGTCCTTCAGCAGATAGGCATATGCTAAGTGCAGCTCGTGGTAATTAATTTTTCCGGCGATTAAGAACCAGAAGATGGATGGAAAATTAATTCGATCATTCCAGAGCAGAGCGTACTTTGTAAGAGACACGACTGCCAGATTCCGAACGAAATTGTGAAATTAAGAGTAAAATACATGTAATAACTAGGTAATTTTCTGGATGTTGGCAACAGCAGTTGTGGCATGGCGCGGACCACCAATTAACCGATTCGATTCGCTATTATCGGGGAGCGATGGAGAGGAAAAGGAGAGAGGGGGAGAGGGATAGGAGAAAATCGCGCGGCATTGGTCACGAGGATGGTGATCTGGGTCATTTCTTTTCCGCTCAGGAAGAGGAATCTGCAGTGGCCACAATGTTGTGCGAGGATGGACCGAGAAATTATAGTTGCCGGATGGATTGAAAAAATGTTTGGAATTCGGTCAATTGAGGAGAGGGATACGAGAATCTCCGTTGAAAGCTCTGAATCGTACTGATTTTAACAATCGTTTCAGCGGGCCGGTTATTGAGATTGATAGACAAAGCTATAGACAAAGAAGACATAAGTAGTATGGAGCGCTTCTATTGGTTGAAGAGAGTGGTTCCTCTAGACTAAGGGAGAAAATTTTGCACGAATTGTAAGGTCCCTTAGGGTGGAGCGATTTCGACTTTTTAAGGAATTCTTTTGGCGAGTAATGAAAAAAAGTTGGGAAATAGGCTGAATTTAATGTAGAAAAAAATTTCAGGCCAAAATTCCGATTTTTTGTTAGCGCGGGTAAGCCTAAAGGGCCTAAATTTTGAAATTGGACCTTTGAAGCTTGATGTCAATGGTTTCCCATCGGAATTAACGAGTTGTGGCCCTATAGGGCGATAATTTCGTCCGAAAAAAGTCGAAATCGCTCCACCCTAGGGTCCCTCGCGTGTTGCCGTCAGTTAGTTTATTACCTACCTCCTTTGTCCATTGCAATCACCCGCTTCCACCAATAGGATCCCTCCATACCCTTTTGTCCTCTTCGTCCATAGCTTTGTCTATCAATTGGACGTATTTATGCGAAAAGGAGATATGTGGAAGTGGATAGATGGGGTGTGCTCGTTAGTGGTCGGGCCATAAGAATGAATGGGGAATATAAAGCGCCAGTGACGTCAGCGGTGAGTGCGGTGACGGTTTCGGGATCGGGATCGCCGTCCGGCGTCTTTAACTCATGAGCCCTGTCCACAACGCTCTCTTGCCATGCCCGCGGCTCATGAGTTAGCATATTTTGGCGCTTAGCTCCTTTTGATTTAATGTCAAATCCCGCTATTCAATTTTCTCAAAAGGAGCTATATCCACTTTTACATTGTTTCTTATGACCCAACTAACGAGCACACCCCATCTTTCCACTTGCACATATCTCCTTTTAGCATAAATACGTCCAATTTCAATAAATCGACCCGCAGTTCCTTCACCTTTCACTCAAACCCAAGTGAGCACAGCAACACTGGGCAGCTGGGCAATGACCAACTGACCACTGACCCACGCACGGAACGCACGCACAACTACAACACGATCTACAAAATGGATTGAGGACGGGAGAGCAAGAGTAATTAGTTGCCATTGTCATGGTTAATGTCATTGCTTCTGTCATCGGGTGCTGTTTCGGACTGGGCTCACGTGTTCCGAGTCTCGGTTAAACAATAGAACATATATTTTTTTCGGGGCGAACTAAACACGACCTATACTGCAAGTGGGTCGGCATGTTAAACATTAAGTTCCGACGTACCAATACGTGTGCTGACCAATACTGCCGTGCTGAGGAAAAACGCCGTATGAACCTTCAGGCGTTGCCAAATTTCCAATTATAAAACACGAATTTCCTGGTAAACTTATAAATATTTTTCTTCGAATTTTTCAGATATTGTTGTTTGCAATTTCACCTAAAGTTCCTGAAAATTTCAAGGAAAAATATTCATAACTTTCCTCAAAAATAAAAATTTTATTGCAGGATTTGGCAATTCTCGAAAGTTCATACGGCGTTTTTCCTTTGCACGGCACAGTCAACCTTGCGGCTCAGTTGTACTTACTAAAATTGGACGTATTTATGCTGAAAAGAACTACGTGCTTAGGATTTGCGTGAGACATAGTTCCTTTTAGCATAAATACGTCCATTCCTGTTCGTTTGTATGACAAGGAATGAGGATAGATAGCAGCAAGGAGTTCACAGTATATCACTTTCGGGGCAGTGATTTGGAGAGGGTATTATTACTTGACTGCTTTTGATGTTTACTTTCTTTTTCTTTTCTTTTTTAGCTGATACTTTGCAAGAGGTCCAGTTACCGGTGATTTCAGCGGCCGAGTGTCGGAAAAGAACGTTATTTTTGCCTCTCTACCGAGTGACTGACAACATGTTCTGCGCCGGCTACGAGCGAGGAGGCAGGGATGCATGTTTAGGCGATTCAGGGGGACCTCTCATGTGCCAGGTGAGGATCGAGTCCTAGATCAGCATTTTCTCCATTTATTTCCTCTCATCAATAAAAGTAATCTCTTTTTTAGAGGCATTGACCTTTAAAAAAACACCTTTTAAAAACTCTTGAAAATTTTTTCGAAACTTTTTTTTTTAGGAGACCCTTTTTATTTACTTTGTTACCGAACTAGGAACGTCTAGCGAAATGTGCGTAGAAGGGCCTTAAAAAAACGTTAGTATTACTACCTTTATGATAGATTTTTAACTTCTTGTTAACAAATGAAAAACTGCGATAGATCTTTTTTAGTTTTTTCATAATGTTACATGACGCCAAGTTATCGTTAATTTTTGATGCAATCCATACGCCAATCGACGAATGCCCCCCACGAACTTACTTCTGACGAAGTATTCGCAAGATTTTGAAAAACAATAAAAAGTATCAGAACAATTTTATGTAAATACATTTTTCTTCAAAGTTCTTAATACAAATTCGCGAGTTTTTAAATTTTGCTTTTTCAATACCTTGAATGCGCGTGTTCCATTTTCAAGATTGAAGGAACTTTCGCTTGACATAAGACTAGATTGAGTTGACTGTAGCGCCTTGATGCAACTATTCGTGTTCCACGGGTGTGTGGGTTGTATGTTCAAAATTGAAGGCACTTCCACTTTTCTCACTTCTCAAGAGTTGCACTCGCACGGTATTCGTCAGTTATACCACTCTATTAACAGAAACAGAGAGAGCGCTCTGGTGTTTAGTGAGTGAGCTGGCAGCATAAAATATATCTTCGGGGAAATGAGAGGGAAAACTGAGTTTTCATCAGGGAATTTTTCCCTAAAAATCGGGAAAAATCATTGATACATCTGGCATTGAAATATGAATAATTCTAAACACCATGGCGTAGCTATAAAAAAATAAGAATTTCTAAAAGCACTCCCCCCCCTTCTCCTTTCCTCAGTAATTTTCTCGCCGTGGACAACTACCTGCGTTACTTACTCGGTAAATCTGGGCATGCTCAAGTAGCAGTGATCACGATAAGTTGCGCTTTGATCGGAAAATGTATTACGATTTTTATCGACGTCGATGAACTGCAATATTATCGATTAAAAAAATGCAATACATTACGATTTTATCGCATAAATTTGCAATAAAATCGCAATTTTATCGACAGCGATCTATCGCAATATTAACGAACAAAAATCGTGATAAATTAAGATAAACTTCGGTTTTATCGGGCACGATTCTGTGGAGATAAAATTGCGACAAAATTGAGGATAATCGCTCACATGTTAATGATCTTATCGCAAAAAAATCGTAAAAGAACCGTGGCTCAATCTCAAAATATCGCGACTTTCCAAGTACCTAGCACAGTGCAACTAAAATATTGAAATTAAATTGCAATTTGATGTCGATAAAATTGTAATTTTTTTACTATCAAATTGCATTATTTTTTCGTTATTTAGTCGATTTATGCCGATTTCATACAATCAGGGAAATGAGCTCCATGTGTCAGAAAGTTAGGCAATATGCAATCCAATAAAAAATAGCAACTTACCTCAATAGAGGACACCGCACCAAGAACAGCCTACAACTGGAAACTGCGTTTTGAGAAAAACGTATTTAAAGTTTTGTTTTTACTTTTTTATTAATTCCACAGACTTTTCTATGCAGGTACCCTGTTTTGGTGTTTTTGGGTGACCTAACCCTTCTATTGAAGGATGCCGGGTAGATTTTGAGATACATTTTGTGTTTACACTCTATAATATATTTAATTTAAAAAAGAACGTTTTATAGGCCATTATCACGCCCAACAGTCATTTTGGTGGCAATATGAAGTATAAATCATTTTAATCACGCATGATTAACGCCAAATGAAAGAATATCGATAGTGAGTAAAGAAAGGGGTAACTAGCACCTTAGGCCCTTAAGTTTATAGGCCCGTTTATAGGTCGTTTTTGAACCTATCGATCCAGAGTCCTGACTTAACTCGGAAAAAAAAGGTTTTTCGACCTCGAGCCGTTACCTATCTATATTCAATCGCTACGACAGCATAGTCAAGACTAATAGTCCAGGCGCCTGGTAGCTAAAAATGAGGCTACCTGGAATTTTGGGTACACAGCGATTTTTTTGGCTTACTTTATGTTTTTTGGGTCGCTGAATCCGAATCTGAAGTTTCCGCACGCGTATCTGGTGAGCATTTTCCGCTATTTTGAAAAAATGGCCTAAAAAGGCCTTTTTTTGCAGTTTTTTTGATATAGCGGCTACGGATGAGGAAAAGTCCCGGATTTAGCTAATGTTTTGAATAGCTGACAAAATTTGGAAGAAAATGGTATATGAATATGCTAGGTTTGCTCAAAAATTGAGGAACCTCGGATTTCGGAACTTTAGAACGCTTCAGAACTTGGCTGACCGCGGCGAGCCGGATCGCGCGTTGACGGGTGCGCCGCGAAAACGTGAATAGGCGCGATGTTCACGATGCTGTATCTTCCTCAATTTTTAAGCAAACCTAACATATGTATACACCATTTTCTTCCAAATTATGTCAGCTATTCAAAACATTAGCTAAATCCGGGACTTTTCCTCATCCGTAGCCGCTATATCAAAAAAACCGCAAAAAAAGGCCTTTTTAGGCCATTTTTTCAAAATAGCGGAAAATGCTCACCAGATACGCGTGCGGAAACTTCAGATTCGGATTCAGCGACCCAAAAAACATAAAGTAGGCCAAAAAAATCGCTGTGTACCCAAAATTCCAGGTAGACTTACCAGGCGCCTGGACTATAAGTAGAACCCGAAAAGCAGATGGGCGTAATAACGACCTATACGCCTATAGGCTGTTCTTGGTGCGGTGTCGTCAATTTGATTGTAGTAAGTTTCAACAAATAGGGCCCCTTCAAATAGGAGCTAGGCAACAAACACAACACTCACACTGAAAAAAAAGTGATGAAATTGATTAACATTTTGGATGTAACAAAAGTGGGCGAGAACTTACAAAATGCTGAATTACAACTGCTGCAGTAGTTACTTTAGCGATGTCAAGCTGTTAAACCAACTGCCGACGCGGGTAATTTAGCATTCTGTGAGTTCTCGCACACTTTTTCTACATCCAGAATGTTAAATTAACTTCACTTTTTTTTCGGTGCAGTGGAATTGCAATATTTTCATCATATAACTGCTACTTATTGCAATCTTTGCTGCTTGGATTTTGCACTTAAAAATGCTACTTGGGTGAGAGCTACACAAGATTGTTACTTAGATCTGAATGGATATTAACGGGGATTGATTTCAGGAGACGGATGGTCGATGGTCCCTGTACGGAGTGACGAGCAACGGGTACGGGTGCGCGCGGGCGAACCGGCCGGGCGTCTACACGAAGGTGGTCAACTACATCGGCTGGATCCAGAACAGCATGGCCATCTCCAACAACGAGCTGCCGGCCCCCGAAACCCGGCAGTGCGCCGGGCACCGCTGCCGCCTCGGCGAGTGCCTCCCCCAGCAGCGCGTCTGCAACGGCTACGTCGAGTGCAGCGATGGTAGCGACGAAAAGGACTGCTGGCAAGACTGATCTCATCCCACTTTCGAGCAGAGAATTTTGACTAGGACGCCTTCTCCAGAAGAACACATCCATATGTCATCCAATCCGTTTTGATTCCAGGTGCTTTCAACTCCACAGAATATCTTTTGTTGATTAGAGCCTCAGGTCCTTAAACTGCCGTATTACGGAAGAACGCCATATGAGCACTCAGACGTTGCCATATTTCCTTCAATAAACACCTAATTTACCAGGAAAATTTGTGAATATTTTTTTCCAGACAATTTTGTTTGCAATATTGTCTAAAACGTCTGGAAATTTAAAGGAAAACTACGCATAATTTTCTTCAAAAATACATTTTTCATTCGGGGCTATTTGGCAACTCTCGAATGTTCATGTAGCGTTCTTCCTTAGCCCAGCAGTATGGAATAGTCCAGTTTCGTAGTTTTTAAAACTGGGAAATAATTCAGCTATGTCTCAGAACTTTATTGGCAGAATTTACTTGGTCTACCAAGTGAACATAGGTATTCATGCTTATTTCAGGCAGTCTTAAACGTCAAAAATTCTCATGACTGTGAATGTAATGCGTACAAACAAGTCTGTGTTCTAAATAACTAAAGTTCAGGCGATCGTTTTTGAGGTCTTGAAACTCGAGAGGGTTAGAAAATATTTCTGCTTTCAAACTTGCTGAAATATGCTGAGTGCTCCTCCTAAGCGTCTCGGCAACTGATTGCAGACATATCTTTAGCATCATTCTCTTAGCATCTTGAAGCTGCAAATTCATTTCTCCTTGCTCAATTAGATTATTTGTTAAAAATATGTGCAACACCAGTGGTTCGGATTGGGAAAAAAAGCAAATCATCAAGATTTCTGCTTAGAGATAGCCTAATTTTCCAGACTCCCAGAGGTCCAACATCAAAAAGAATGCTGAATCAAGGTTTCTTAGCTTTTCATTTTTCAAACCTTGGATTTCGTTTTGACTCTCCACCCTTCCAATGCTAACATTTTATGTTGGTAACTAATTATCACCTACAAAAAGTTGGCGGATTTTACACTGCCTTCGACATTTGTAATATTAGCAGGAATTTTAGTGTTGCATTTTGGGGAAATATTGCTGTTGCTCTATAACACGTGTACTGATGTAGCAAAAGTATGCTTTTTCAACTGACATGGAAATCAATGAATTTTAGTGATTTGGGAATGGCATTGAATATTCTAGTCAATAATATTTATATACTTAATTTTTCCATGGACCTCATAGCTGTTGTATAGAGAAAGGTTTTGCATTTGTGCAACATAACAAACAGAGGATTTTGTTATATCCGAGAGGGCATTTTCTTGAAAAAGAAAAATTAAAATTATCCATTTTTTCTCCTCCAGAAGACGACTTCAGGTCTCAGTTAGTTCATTCATTGGTGCTGTGATTTTTTTTCAGGGCATAGATAAATTCAAAAAATTGAGCCAAAAAGAGAGGAATACAGCAATTTTTTAAAACAGAAACAGGATTGACTTCCTCGAATTTCTGCCTTGCCATTTCATACATATTCTCAAAAGCAATATCCAGAATCCAAAATCCCAAGATGTCTGCTATCACATTTTATGTGTCAAATTGTAAATACAAATTTTAAGGAATAAATGTTTTTACTTATCTTGAAACTTAAGTTAATGTGCCTTAGAATTACTTCAAGTACACTTGAGTTGACAGGATTTTTATTGTATTTGATCTAGCTGATTATATCTGTAGTTAAGGGCCAAAAACCCATAACTACATTTTCACCAATCCGAGAATTTGGGAGAAAGCCATGTGACAGCACCATTGGCTGAAGTGTATTTTGTAAGATTAAAAATGATTTTTTTTAAATTTTAGTTACATCTTTTGGCTCTTGACTACAGATATAAGCAGTGCCTAAAATTGGTAGACTAGAATTGGCGAGAGAAAAAATTTGCTATGATTGAAATTGATCCTCTTGACTCTTGTGTAGGAAAAATTGTACTTTTTTATTGAAGTGTTAATAAACTAACTGATGAGACAATGTAATTATAATGTGTAAATGAAAAACTGTAAATATAAACAAATGTCTACTGTACACTTTGGAGTTTGTTTTTTGTTAAAATTGAGGTACCTACTTTCAACTTAAAATTTTCCCTCCTTTCGTAAAGCATTTGAATTTTGAGTATAAATTGTTGATCTGAACTAGGTAAAATCTGCAGAACATGGTAAAACAGGGTTTTTCCCGGGGATTAGTATTTCAAACTAGAGGCTACTGACTGTAAATTTGGGGAAAAGATCCGATTGAAAATCATTAGCACAAAGAAGAAATATTCATACATCTTGAGGGAAAAAAAATTGGATGGAGTAAGCAAATCCAAAATTAAAAGGGTGAAAGAACAAAATAAAGTAATTGTATTTTCAAGTTTGATATAATCATTTTTGTTATTGAATAATAAAGTAAAAAGCAAATATTACAAAATCACGTTAAAAGGGTAAAACATAGGCGCAGACCTATGATGAGAATGAGTAGACGAATAAATTAGATAAATAAATAAATAAATAAAAGAGAATCAAGCATTTTATGATCAGTAGTAAGTATGTAAATATTGCAAAATACTTTACACTTGTTTGGAGGCTTGCAACATAGATCCTTGCAAAGTTTCATAAAAAAAACTTACATTTTACAAAATTAACTAAATAGAGAGGGGGTTAGGTTGAATAAAAAAATTTTTAGGGCTGATTTTGGTGTCAATCATTTGAAGTCTCCAATTGACATTGATTAAAAATTGTGATTAAAAAAGAGGGCTCAAGCGGAGAGACAAAATTCCGACTGAATATTCATCCCAAAGGTTTTCAAAAGCCACCTACACAAATACATGCAATAAAATAGATGGCTTTGGTAAAATTATGTTTAAACTGCAGCTTTTGGTGCACTTTTTGACTGGTATCAATGCACTTTAGGGTGTAATGAGTTACCCATATAGTAAAAGTTTTTACATGATATCAAAAAAGTGTAACAGGCGGGCATGAAACAGTGACCTGAAAAATTTGTTGCCTCAATTTAGAAATTTATGTGAATAACGTTCAATGAAATAAATTTAAAAAGAAAAGAACGCTAGCTTCTAATAGGATGAATATTCAATTTTCAGTCACAATTTGTGGTTTACTCGTATTCTAACGAACCTCTTAGCAAGAACTCAGACTCCTACAAAAACAACACTAACCACTAATCATCTCTTAGATAAGTAGTTTTCTTACTTTTTATTCTTCCAACTAACAAATACTCTTTGGTTGATGATGAAAGAGATAGGGATGCAAAAAAAACTAACTCAAGTCTCAAATTGAGATAAAACAGAGGATTCATCTATGAACCATGCAGTGTAAAAATAATACGCCCTGAAACTAAAGAGGCTTCACCATAAGAGCACAATACAAGTCTTTCAGATAACTGCACCATTAAATGGTGAATATTTGAGCTGTGCAAGTTTAAATTTTGAAAATTTTAAAAAAATACAAAAAACTATCAAAATTTATTGATAGATCGATGTCTTGTCTTCTTAAAAAATTTGTTCGACTAGGCAAAAAGTGCACACTTGAGAAAATTATGTGTCTATTTCATCACCAGCATGTCTTAAAACTAACTGAATCACAATTATTTGAAAAATTAAATAATGAGTCTGAAATCGTGAAGAAAAAAACTTACGACGAATATTAGAATATATACCGCAATGATTTGACAATGTAATTACAGGTAGATGATTGGATATGATGATTAGCCTTTGTTCTCGACAGCTTCTGTGACTAGTCCTTTAGACCCGCTAATGGTAGTCCTAAATTGTTCTGGAACTGGATACTCGCTCTGCAAACAAAAATGTTTGTTTTATTGTAAAAATAAATAAGTACAAACCAACATTAAATGAAGATTTATTGTAGATAACAGGCTGGGTATCATGGAATTGAAAATTGAGTTAGACATGGCATTTTGTTCAACAAAGTTCATGTTCCAGAGCAACATGCTGCATGACAGATTAAGAGCCACCAACACTAGAGTAAAGCGTATGACGCCCGAAAGACAGCGTTAGTGGTATGCGTTGTAACAACTCAAAATCAACTTTTCTGCATTTAGCCCATTACTGACGAGTCTATGAGCACATTATAATAAATGTTAAAATTGTTTTACAAAATCAAAGATGGGGATCTGGAGAGGAGATCTGAAATGGAAGATCCAGAAGTAGTAGTGCTTCATATTTTTAGTCAGAGCAAGACAATTTTGACGAAGCGAAATCCAAACCTAATGTACTCACTTTGAGGAAACCCAGTTTAGAATTTGGCAAATTAGTTCTATGATAATATAAAATTCAAATTATAACAAATCCACGGTAATTTAAAGGGACTCAATGGAGCTCTCTTCTTTCTCGGTGGAGGTACCTTGTGACCAAGACTAAACATCTAAGAAAAACACCTGAGAATTCCATCTAACCTAGATTTGGCTGATAAAGAGGATTAAGATGCATGCACATAAATTAGTTGATGATGCCGTTTTGGTATAAATGCGGCAGTATAATTAACTTAAAAATACATATTGATGTTCCCAAGGATGATTTTTTTTTCACCATGAGCAAGATGCTCACTATTAGTGCTCTTGCAAAAGACCCCGTTTCTAGCACTCCTGAAAATTACTGGCTTTAATAAAATCAGCAAAGGGGCTACAGCAGAATCATAAAATGATGGAACATCAATAACAAGATGCGCACAAGTTAATCCTCTGTGCAAAAGTTGACTCGCCCATTACATTGCATTACGATTTACCAGTGGTTAAAGGATCTTCAACGGCCGCATGCATTATTTTCCCCCTCTGGCTTACTTTTCACACTTTCATAAAAATTATAGGATGAGACATTAAGCTTGAATCACTAAGACTTTCCATGACGAAAAATTAAAATTTTAAGGGATGAAAAGAAACAGTTGATGGAAGAGAGGGGTAATGACAACTACTTACATAATCTCCATTAGGTTTAGGAACAAGGACATTCATTTCAGATGATTTTGATGAGACAATCACAACATCCAATGAGTCCTTGCTTAAATACATTTGACAGCCATCTGTCTTGTCAATCGATATGGTTGGCACTTTCCCGAGCACCTGGAATAATGACAATCACAAGTAATTTTTTAATCTTTCCACCAAGAAATAACCAAGAGAGAAAGAAATTCAGTAAAACTTAATGTATACATAGGTAAATACATTCTAAAGGAAATAGATGCCAACTTCAGCCAGTCTTTGATATAATAAAATTGAATTTATAACAAATGCCCTTATACCCGCCGGAAAGTAATTAGAGCACAGATTTCGATATTAAATCTGTAAATGGCCATCGAGCTGACTCAACCAAAGATCTGGCTCCACCCCAGAGTAATACCTATCACGGCCTCATTGATGCAAACAATAGGAGACACGACCGAGCCTTGTGATTACCTGAGAAAACAAACATGTTTTCGGTCTAAAGCATTTTGGCAATTTATAAATCAGCAACAATTTTTAGCATCCGTTGGGAGGTTTTGACTCTGCTCAAGTTTTGTATGCGACTTGGTCTAGACGCCATGCTGATAACTCAGTTTGAAACCTTTTAATACAGACCGTTCATGTCCTTAGCTTAATGGAGTGCATAAATAGGTGCCATATTGAGGCATCATCTTGGCATTTGGACCAATCATCAACATTTTGAGCAGAGTCCGAACCTTTGATCAGAGGCACAAAATTTTTGCAGACCTAAAAATTGCAAAAAATGAACTGAGGCTAAAGGCATGTGTGATTTCGTAGGAATGTCATTAGAGGATGAGGTCAGACTTCAGCCGGGTCCGCTTGATTGCCATTTACAGGTTTAACCTCAAATTCTTTAATTCAATTAGTTGCCAGGGAGTACACTCAAAATCACTGGGAGTACAGAAAACCTGAAAGTTCTGAAAATGAAGGAATGGTGGCTAACTTCCGTACTAAGAGTTTCACACAAAAACGTTTCTAAGAACGAGAACATATAAATTATGATAAAAAAACAGTATCTCCTCCAGCTTCAGGATCATAAGAGGATCTACTGAAATTATGATCTATTAATAAATCCAGATCTGCTGAACGTGGCTGAATGCTCAACCTCCGTTGTGGCCATATTTTGTTCAAGTGTTTTGGAAGACTTAAAAGGCTCATTTTTAAGGGTGACTTTTTATTAAAATAGGCCAGCGATTAATTAGTTACTTAAATTGTGCTGAAACTGATTGTTGAGGTTCCTTGGATGTTTCAAATTTTGCTGCTTACCTGCATTTGAACAGACTGGCAATTGATGAACTCAGCGGATGACACCAATGTATCAAATACGACAGAAGACTTTTTGCAGGAGTCCAAGACAACTGAATTGATTTTTCCTTTGACTGTCAAAGTTGAGTTCACACAGCCAAACATATAAACTACATTATTCATTTCTGCTCCTTCTACTACCAGGGATGGATTGTTCTTTTGATACTCCTAAGAAGGTAGAAAATCAGTATGTTAATTTCAAAAAATAGAGAATTCTACTCTTTCATGTCTAGATTTAGCTCCTCGCAAAAAAATTTCCCTCCTGCATCTCCCCCTCCCCTTCCCGATTTGAGAATGAAGATTTTCAAAGCTTGACAGCAAATGAGATTAGAGGCTTAAAAGAAAATACAGTCGTGTCTCATTTAACGTTTTTCTAGAAACAACATTCATTTTGTCAAGTCCTGGTCAGTCGTTTTTCGTTCGAGCGTTTCTTGAAAAAATTTTCTACCAGAAACAACGTTCCAGTTCTGAATCCCATTCAAAAACGTTGAAACGAGATATGATTGTACAATGTACTTACTCTGATATACATAAAAAAGTCCTGACACTGTTAAGATTCAGTTACTAAAGAAATTTACTGGAATATTCAAACAAAAAACCCCCTTTGAATTGGTGGTGTGTCTTCAGTATATTCTCAGGTACCAGCAAGTATTAATCATATTGACGAAATTCCAAATTTTTTCATATTTTCTTGTTTTCTTAATTCTGAGAGTAAAAATATTAGTAAAATTAAGACTTTCTTTGATAAGCGTTTGAAAAAATAAACCTTAATTTTTGTGACCAATTTTCTGGATTTTTTTCATAATCTTCTACTATCTATTTATTCCTGTTCTGTAGTTATTTTTGTTTTTTTTTGACCAAAATTCCTATAAATCTCAGATTTAGGGTTTTCCCAATCATGGTCTTATCTAGGACTGGTTTTATATTCTTCAAAAAAAAAAACCTTGAAACTTTTAAAATAAGAAATCAATTTAAGAGTGAGCTCAATATTTCTTTCGCAAAAGTCGTTCCTCCTCTGGCGTACGGGCGGATCTCTACTTCAACATGAGCCCCAGAATGCATAGAGTTATACAAAGAACAAGGCTCAGGTGGAAATCAAGATAAGCCCTCACGTCAGAGGAGGTGCCTCATATTTTTGTAACATTGACAGTTGGATCCTGAGGGAAATTGGCTGGAAATACTTCCATAGAATTCTTGAGATGTCCAGCTTTACTGCCACATGAAATTTCTTGATCAGCCCATTACGTTCTTGCATGGTGAATGAAAAAAATACTCACTATTATCCACTTCTTGCCCTCTCGTTTAAATACAGGGGGCTTCTCTGCTGGAACACTTGATTTAAAGTTGTTAACTTGCGTGTTGTTTGGAGTTGCCTTGAATGGTGCCGGTCCCGATCTCAGCGATGGGTTTTTATGGGTTTGCATGTTGGATGTTACTTTTTTCAAACCTAAAAAAAATTACAATTGATGAGCAATTCAGAGAGTGGATTGATGGTGGAGGATAGAAAAAAAAGTGATCTCCATATGAACTGCATTTTGCAATTTGGAGCTATAAATTCTGGCTCATCTGAAAAAACACTTATGTGCATAGGGAGACTAACGGCACATACGTTGTTTTTAAACCGGGCTAGAATTTATAGTTCCAAATTGCAAAATGTGGTCCATATGATGTTTAGTTTCGCTGTTTTAAATGGACCTCCTCCTGAGGCACGTTTTATTCCATGGCAAATTGAGTAAGTTCTTGCAAAAACTATCAATATCTATTACAAAACTTTAGAATTAGTATTCAATGATGTATTTGCTATTGGCTGCAAACTGATATTGGTTAGAATACTCATGAAAATCTCCAGAAAGTTCCTTCAAAATTAAACGAGTAAATACTAAGCCACTATGAGCGTTGATTACCTACTGAGGTGATCTAGGGTGTAAGGAAAAAATATAATCAATTTGCAGCACATACAGGATAATACTCTCAACATTCTTGTTTAAGGCGATTTGATTATTCTCTAATACTATCTAGAAAGTTTTGGACCAAATCGCCTGGATTTCAGGTGGTGCATGATTATTAAAGAATACAGCAATAATTGTAGCACTTATAGAATAGATGACTTACTGCTCGTGATTTTTTCACCCTGGTTGATTTCCGCAAACAAAGCTGATCTGTCCTTTGAATTGTCGATAGTGAGGTCAGTAAAAGCAGGAAGGGCCATTGGTGGAGGAGGGGGGCCAGGAGGTGCGGGAGCAATTCCATTCTTGCCACTCCAGACTAATCCTGTCGTGTGATATTGTTTAACATACTGCTGAAGCTGGACTAGAGTTTCTACCCAGGAACGCACCCATTCAACATGTGTTTTGTCCCTGAAACCAAGATAGTGGTTAGAACAACCAACCTAGACTAAAGTCTTACATTTAATGGTGTAATAATATCATATCATGCATGGCAGTGGACAGCATAAGAAGCCCACCGTGGTGCAAAGCCTCAAAGAGTGCTTAAAACAGTTTTAATGCTATTTTTTTAGTGCTGAAGGGTTGGACTGGGATCCATTCTTTTGCGACCCTGACAAGAGCAAAACCAGAGGCAGTTCTGTCAAATACCACAATACCCCACAATAAAGAACTTCTAATGCAGCTGCCTAGTGACAAGCAACACTTGAGTTGGTTGCTTGGAGTCACTAATGACCGGAAAGGCGGAACAGCCAAAATGCATTCAACGATATTCGGACTACGTTGAGCAGAAAGGAACGAAGCCACATCAGCTATTACCAAATTTAATTAGGCAATTCAATTTTTTGCAAGAAAACGATTGTGCAGATTTTTGTGCGAATTTCAAGGAATTTTCTGCATAGTGCGAAGCAAATTCCTTAATTTTCAAAAGAATCCACACAAATGTTCTCTTGTGAAAAATGACATGGTACAATTAAATTTGGCAATAGCTGATGTGGCTTAGTTCCTCTCTGCTGAACAGGGTCCATTCTAAATTTTAAATGAGGTTTTTGAAGTTTTGGGAGTATCATCATTTTAAAAGCTTGATGTTTGAAACGTAAAATCACACCAAGTTATGGTAAAACCGATGAATCTTGAGAAAACTATATAACTAGGATTTGGTAACGAGAGTCTAAGAATTCATATTGGATGAATACAGCTCCAGGGACTCGAATATATGAGAGCTGCCAGCAAAATTAGGAGCAAAAGAGGACTACTTCGAAAAAGGACTCCTCACAACCATTTTTCTAGCACAAACAAGTCCTCGGACAGAAGAAGATATAGATTGTTTGATCGAGTACAGTCTATGATTGTTCTTCCTTGTTGAGACAGTTTAGTTTTAATCTATTGCTCTATATATTATACCTACTATGCTAGAGGGTTGGAATGTCAGGTTTCTCATCATAGACATGATGATCTCTTTACTTTGGTTTTAAAATTAACGAAAACCGTTCTTTAAGAGGTCATATTCTGAAAGTGTCGGTGTAGCGGGTGCATTTCATCAAAGTTCTGAACACAATCAGTTCAATAGAACCTGTTTCATAAATATGATACGGCAGTTAATTTATGCTTTCTTTACAAAAGGGATTTTACTTTATGTTATCTAACAACTGAACTTCACACCAAAACTTACTTTTCTTTCCAGTCCTTCAGAACTCGGTTCGTATAAAATTGACCGGCATCATTCATTTCTTTGACATAAGGAGAAGGAGCAGGGGTCTGAAAAATAAGATCAAATAAAGTTAGAAAACAATTGAAACGTTTTAGGCACAGTATACACTAAATGGGTTTATGCATTTCTTTTCTAGATTTTTCCATTTAGTTTAAATGCACAAATGAACACGGAAGATCGTTGTCTGCCTGTAAAAATGCTGTAACTTATTCAAAATGGACTCTACAACAGCAATCTGATCATGAATTCTTAATGCATCCAAAGAATTTCGCATTTAAGACATGCGGAAACTGGAGAAGAAATAAATTAAAAACGATAGCTTAATACAAATGGGGTTCCTGCTGAAGCCAAAAACTATATTTTGTCTTGAATCGTTAGGCTTTATATTTCTTTACAAAGGCGAAGTGGCAAAATCTAATTAGATTTTAGGCAACTTTTCATCAGTTTTTCGAGGTTTTTAGTATTCAATTTTAATAGCAATTATCTTCTTACAATAATTTTTACTTGTCCATTATGATACAAAATATCAGGAAGATATACGAGTAACTTTTTGAGAAATTCACAAAGGAAAATACTTGAAAGTTTGTTTATTAATTATTACTGGGTTTATACGGCTGACAAAGGATGGTTGAATTCCTTTTTCTGAAAAGTCAATCTCTTCTTTATGTCAGACAAGCATTGCGCTTATTTAACTCAAAAGAAAAACTATCTCCGTTGTGACTTGGGCCCTCAGATCTATAAAAATACATTTCATGTATGATGTCACAATGTAGGAGGTTTTTCTTGATTAACACAGTCCATTCCGAACAAGTGCTTCGGTTCTACACTACCCAAGGTAAAATGCCATTTAAAAGCTATTTTAAGGTTTTACTCAACAAATACTCACAACATTGACCCATCCAAGAGCCGGAATGCTTTCACTGATGGCACTAAGGTGATTGAAGTATGGAGAGGCTCGGTTCTTATCTCTGAGACTGCAAATTGCTGTGATTTTATCTGCTGTTGGTTGTAACAACCTCATTGTTTCGTTCTGGTTGGCGGGTGCTTTACTCCTGGAGGCAAGTTCTAAAAATTCCAGCTGGGAACTATGGAAACAGAAACCAAAAATTAGGTGCTTGGAAAAATACTTAGGGTGTTTAGCGGGAAATCAAAAAAGCATAAACGGCTATGTTGATTTCTTTTCAAACAGCGGCAAAAAGCGCCTACAGACATGAAAAGAAGGAAGATTCAGTTGATCAAAAAGAAAACTTGATTGAGAGGGGGGGGGGGGTGTTCGGGTAAAATTTAAGCCCTCTTTGACAAAAACAGATTTTAGGTGTCACAGTAAGTTGATGATTTGGACCATATTTTGCAATAAGGAACCATTGTTTCTGGCTTATTTTAGAAACAACATATATGCTATTGGTTTCACTATGCAGAAAGGTGCTTTTATGGAAGAGCCAGAGATGGTGGTTCCTTATTGCAAACTGTAGTCCATTGTAAAGTCGATAATTAACAGTTCGGTATGCATGCTTCAGAGGTGCAAAATCTGCCCGATCATAGGATACAGGGATTGCATGATAAGTAAGAAAATTTTAAAGAAAAGAAGACAATTTCATCCGTAACGACATCTAAAAATTCCGATTTTTTCGGGAGACGTTACGAGCAAAAAGTTAAAATGAAGAAAAAAAAAGTCATCACTAAGAAAGATTTGTGAAAGTAAGGAATTTTTGTCTGAAAATAGAGGAAAAAATCCCGTTAGGCCGAAAGACACATATTGCACCCTTCTACACTATGCCAGTGCGGCAAACCCATGACAGGAGGATGGGTCCGCCTCCGCTGTGAGCAAGTTACCTTTAGAGGGTATATTTTCCGAAACGTCATGATTTTACACGACACTAATAGCTGATCTTGGCTCTACTTCCGCTTAGTTTATGCGAACAAGTCTGACGCATTCTAAAAGTATCATCATTCCTTTACAAAGTCAGGCAGGGTTGCCATCATTTCTTCATCTTCAAGCTCCCTGACTCTTCCCGGCTGGATTTGCTTTACCCGGACTCCAAAATTGTCTTATTCCCAGATGTTACCTTACATTCGAACTAAATTTCCACTTTTTTTAAAAAAAAAAATACGGTGACTTTTGCTGAATCTTAAGGCAAAATTTCCTTGTTTAGAGATCAAATCATGGAAAACGTAATTCAGTAGCTGGTTAAAAAATGACGAGCCTTAAAGATGACGAGAGACGGTAAAAAGTTGGTAGTTCAGTGATAAGTTTTAGTGATTAGCAGATGCATCAGAAATGTCCTGACTATTATCACGGATTCCTTGACTTGCCCTGATTTTTCCGGTTTTCCAGACCGCCGGCAACCCCACCCTACAGGGCAGTGGCTGAAGAGAAAAAATCGTCGAAAAATGAATAAAAACGCGTAAGATTCCCGCTATTCTCTGACAGAGCGTGGAGGCGTTGGTCAAACGCATGTAACAAGACTATTAAAATCGCCGCCGAAAGCTCTTACCCCTGCCTCAGAAGTTAATCAAGGGCCCTGCTCTAGGCAAACACCACGAATCTACACGAGATCTCCATTGCATTTACGTGGTTTTAGTTTCACGGGGCACTGCGAGTAAACACCAGCCCACCTTATGAAAGTTGTTTCCGGTAGGTTGCAGCTTAATGAAGACTAAACGATGAGGATGAGTGAGTTATTATCGTTCATTAAACGTAACTGTTATTATTATTCGAAAAAGAGAAAAAAATGGCGCGGTCCTATTAAAAACAGCGGTGCCATTTCAACGGCCGGTTTACCCTCTGGGAAAATATTCTGATGCACGTAGGAGAATTAAGCATGCGGTGTCATGTCAGTTGCGCGTTTCGTAGAGTTGTGTTTTGATGGTAAAATCTTACGAACAGCAGAACATTGTACGCTTGGCCTCAAGATGAGTTTCTACGTCAAAAGTTGACGGAAACGTCGTCTCTTGCACATCTTTCAAAAAGGGGAAAATGGTCCAGTTTGGACTGGATCAGGGAGCGAAACAAAAGAAAGTTGATGGGAACCGGAGAAAAGAAAATATTTAGGAAAGTAGCGCAAGTTTCCACTCAATTTTTTAGTAATTTTCATTGTTTTTGCAGCTGAAAATGAGCCTACGCGGCTTGAAATGTCCTGATTTCTGGGTGTAATTACAACTCTTCCCCTGTTTTAGCCTTGATTTGAGTTTTTACCCTGTCGTATTATTATATTTATGGGGTGTGTACTTTGTGCACTTCATCATAGGTACGTGTATCAACGAATTGATGTCTACTTGCCTCTGAAACTCTTTGCCTCCCTTAATTTAAAAATCTAAATTTTTGTATAAAGACCCATCTTCCAAATTCTTTGTATAGACGTTAATAGCCTAGGATGCTGAAAGTCTATAAATAAAATAACTAACTAGGTAACTAACTAACTGACTAAAAAACTAACTTCTCAAAACTAAAATGGGCAATAAGAAATACAGCCACCGTGTCATTCAACAAATGCAGTACTGCACGATTAAGTAAGTAGCTCCTACCGATAATTCGTGAGCGACTACTTAGCACAATTCAGATCCCTACACGCTTAAAGAGAATAAGTAGAAACTAATCAGAAATGTAGAAATATACTTGGCAATCGCGATAAGATAGGAAACGGACTCGGGCAATAAACAGGTGCATCATAGTATAATTACTTTCGTTTTTGCAGAATGAGTCATTGCCATGAGTTTGCATCGAAAGAGACGCGACGGAGAACCAATTTGCAGTGGCGCGTCGCGCTTTGCGATGAATCGATTGATGTGCCATTTGAACCAGTGGAAAGGGGTCGATCATCAGGGTGTTCGCGACGAAAGCTTTACTTATCGATTCTTGCTCACGGCTTGAAATGAGAAAATATCGAAAGCTGACGGTTCACGCTTCGGTACTGCTAATTTGATCTGACTAGATTGTCTCCTCAAATAACTACAAACACGATTCCCTGCCTACTTATCATTCTAACAGCTAACTCTTGAAAGTAATAACCGTTGGCGGAGAGCTTTTCAGTTGCAGTAATATATTTCAATGTACTCGTGATGACTTGAGCTGTAATTAGCTTTCATGCGGCCTGAATATGGTTGAATATGCTTCCTTTTTCCAAAAAAAAAAATAAAAAAAAAAATAAAAAAAAAATGCCAATTTCGAAACAAGTAAGGGCTAAGAAAAACTTACTGAAAAGCTTGAGCGACTAGTTGAGCATGAGTGGCAACATCGCCGCCGATTTTTTTCGAAAGCTCGCAGTAAGTTGCAAGCGGCCCTGCAAGGATATCTTGATACGCTGGCACACTCATTTTGAAAACCTGCAACAGAAAAGAAAACGATTAAGCTCTCGGTTTTATTTTTTTCAAACACATGGTGCATCATTTTTAAACAGCTAGGAATAAGGATATCTTATTAACACCCCGGATTATCCTCGATATTCAACAATTAAAACATGGTAAGAGAATGGTGTATCAATTCAAAAAAACGAGATTGACTTTAGCTTTGAGCAGCGAACAAATTATTCTGATTTTATTTGGAAAGGAGAAAGTGAGAATGACCGGAATGAAAAAGACATAGAGTAGAATGAGCCCAAACGCGAGGAATCAAACTTCGAGAACTTGCTAAAGTGGACTACGTTGTAATATTCTACACACTCAAGGCTATTTCTTAAAGTTCATCACAGAAATCCCAATAATCCATTATTCGTGTGTTTTCACGAGAAAGCCTTAAATTTTCCGCGGCGACCTCTGAAAACTTGTGTTTTTCCAGTGTACCTATCCGTATAGGGTAGGTACCCACCCCGTTGTACTGCTGTGCTAAGGAAAACTCACGAACAATCAAATTTTGCCATATTTCTAAAGATAAAATATATACTTTTGAGGACAGATATGCATATTTTTCCTTTACATTTCTGGAAATTTTACATCAAACTGCGAACAAAATTGTCTGACAAATTGGAAGAAAAATATTCACAATTTCTTCAATGAATTCGTCTTTCACTGATTTTAACATGGCGTTCTTCCTTAGCACAGCAACAAGCTAACCATACTGCCATGCTAAGGAAAAACGCCGTACAAACATTCGAGAGCTGCCAAGTTTTTTCCAATAAAATATTCATTCTTGATTAGAGTTATGGATATTTTCTCTTGAAATTTTCAAATACTTTAGGTCTAGTTGCGAATAAAATTCTTCACAAAATTGTAAGAAAAATATTTAAAGGTATCACGGAGAATTCGTATTTTATCAGAGGAAATTTGGTAAAATCTGAAGGCTCATAAAGCGTTTTTCCTTAGCACGGCAGTGTGCTAACCATATCAGACGATGCGGTAAGTCCCGCGGATCATCGAATTAAAACGAAGGCGGTCAGACGCAGACGGCAGACAGACATATGCTCAGGAGCACGAACGGTGTAAAGCAATTTCAAAGGGCCGGCGCGGACCTGGTTGCGAAATATGGCTCGACATTTCGAATTTCCCGCCGAAAAACGCGAGAAATCTCCTCGACTGGACAACCCTGTCCGTAAATCTCCGTGCTCCAGATCCGCAAGCGCGACCCGTAATTGCGATGTGTTTTTCCGGAGCCTGCGCCTGGATTTTACGGATGAGGCGGCCGCGGCTCTAGCGTTGAGATCACCGGATTGCAGCCGTTTCGGGCACCAAGCATCGGGCATAGGAGCTTATCACTAGAAGGAAATTTCATGCAGATGGACACCCTATTTCTGCCGCACCAGGCAGAAGCAGAAAATACGTATACATCAGAGTTTGTATTGGACCGCGTTCAGCAGAAAAGATCAAGCCACATCAGCTATTACCAAAATCAATTGGGCAATTTAATTGCCTGAAAATTCAATTGCGTGAAAACGGTGATTTCCGTGCTAATTTTAGTGAATTTTCTGAAAAGTAAGAAGCAAATTCCTGCGAATACTCACAGGAACCCGCACAAACGTTCTATTGTAAAAAATGAAATTGCCCAATTAAATTTGGCAACAGCTGATGTGGTTTGGTTCCTATCCGCTACCCGCGGTCCATTCTGCCGTGCTAAGGAGCAACACCGTATGAGTATTCAGACGCTGCCAAATTTTCTTTGACAAAACGCATATTTTCGGGAAAATCCGCAAGTATTTTTCCATCAATTTTTCAGAGAATTTTGCTCGTAATTAATTGACCGAAAGACTGAAAATTCGAAGAAAAATAGTCGCAAATTTCTTCAAAAATGAATACTTCATAAGAGAAAATTTGGCAACATTCGAATGCTCATACGACGTTCTTCCATAGCACGACAGTATTGGTGTTGCGTCGTATAAGGTTAGCGGCGCCGCTTCAGGATTGAGCGACGACGCGTGCACAGATAAGATTGGAATTAGAATAATGATAGCTTATGATTTGACAGCCTTGGCACGAGCCGTAAGTTAACAGCTGGCTATTAGAAAACGGAATGGAAGGTTCGGTCCTACTGGCAGCGAAATCGTAGGCTCGTTGACCTGCGCCAATGACTCGGGGGTTCTAGAAGAAGAGGAAACGTACCTAGAAACCTTTTTCAGACATGCGGAATCCATTCCTGATTGTTCCTATCTCTGGGGTTTATTGCACTTTTAATGGTTGCAAAGATTACATACGATGATAGGAATGAGCTGGACTGGAGTACCTGGATACTACCGTACTAAGGAGGAACGCCGTATGAACATTCGAGAGTTGCCTTTCACCGGATGAAACATGCATTTTTGAGAAAAAAATTGTTTATCTTTCCTTGAAATTTTCAGATATTTCAGATTGGGGACGTTTGGACGGGTCCCGTCCAAACTACTTTTATTTACAGCCTGTACCCCGTGTTCCTCTCATTTCATTTACATATTTTGGGCTGATTAAAGTGTTACCTATATATAAATAATTATTTATTAAATAAGGACTAAGTGAGTTTTTGGGATACCGCTCTCTTTTTGTGCCGTTGGTTTATTTTGCGAGGATAGCTCCGTACTCTTAAAAGATGCCTATCATTCTTAATGTGTTGGAGCACCTTCAATTTCATGTGATATTGTGCAACACCTCTATTGTGAAATAGTTGCTTGAGGCGCGAATGCTGCCAATGCGGGACGAGCAATGGCGCCTACAAACCTAAGCGGATACTTCACGCATTGCGCAATGATTGAAGTATCCACTTAGGTTTGAAGGCGCCAATGCGCGTTCCGCGCAGACGGCACGCCGCGCACCGCGCTGCTCCGCTCTGTACTAGGCTCTAATATTTAAACTCGCGGAATCAGCGTTTTTCAATTCATGATTTTGAAATGTTTGCACACTCTGCATGGATTATTCTCATCTAAATTGATGAAAACAATATGTTTTAAAGGAAAATATAATGTCTGTTTTGTAAATATTAAGATGGTTCTGTGTCAAATTTAAAGATTTCCAATTAAAGCACTTTAATTTTTTCTTTTAAATTTCGTGCTCGCATTGTACTGCAGATTGTTGTACGCACAACCAAACGCTCAAAATTTGACGTATTCAACTCTAAATGATCGATGTACAAATGGGTTAAAACGAGATATTGTGTGCTTCATGGTTTCTTCCCCTCTTTTAATCATTTTTGTAATTTTTTTTTTCAACACAACTACGGCTCATTAAGATAAATATCGATGACATCACTTGGAAAAATATAAATGTTTTTAAATTGAAGTAATCTTCTTCCATTTAAAGAATGAGTTACCATAACAATTTCTCAATTTCTCTCAATTTCGGTCTCTCAATTTCTTCTCTCTCAATTTTCTCATTTCGGTATTGTCGATATGATTTTACATACGGACTAAAATATAATGCTTGGACCAGGTCTTTGTTGCTTATTTTACGCGTGGACGTAAACTATTGGACAGAGCAAGTGCCTGGACAAAAAATCGTTGACGGAATGTCCTGAAATCGTTGGATGATAAGGGCATTTCCGATTAATTGTGGTCGTACCCCAATAAATTAGGTTACTGCCCCAGATGTTGCAGTACTATACCACAATTAATTGAAGATGTCCATCATCCAACAAATTGGGTTACCTTATATAGTACCACAATTTGAGGGAAAAACCCCCAACTTTTTTTCTCCCGTGAATTTAAGCTTTATACAGTGGATCATTGTTGCGATGACTCGAGAAAGCTTTGATGTTAATATAATAGAACCAGAAAATGGTTGTAGAATTTACCCTCGGAAGACGAAGGAGAGACGGACCCAGTAACATTAATACTCTTCAAGATAGCCCATAAACGCGATCAGCATGCAGTGCAAAACGCCGATAAATCATCAATCTATTGTTAAGTAGGTCATTACTTTGGCTTGATCTTTAGAAATATTAACAATGCAACCGCTGGCAAAAAATTCTGCCGACAACTGCCAACTAAATTGGGCAGTTGGGCACCGAGAGATAGCCAGACGATCTACTGGAAAACGACGATTGCATTGAGGCAACGAACGATTGCAAACAGAGCGATTAGAATCGATCTTTAAATGATATCCCACCATTAGCTACCATTAGCACCATTAGCTATAAACTATCGATTTCACGGTGACCGAAAAAATCGAATAAAAAATCGATGCGGTGCGACGCTCAATGGAACGAACTTACGAAAGAAGTTGGACATGGAATTTAATTTTACTTAAACTGCAAGATTTGTTGCTTATTATAATCATGATATAAATTTCAATGGGATGTTTCGTAAAGGAAATTTCACGAGGAAACCAACGAAACCACTTTGAAAAGTATTCGTTTCATACTAAATAAAATAGATAGGTTTCGAAGTTTTCGCATTATAACCGACCTCTCCAAGTCGCTCGACTCGAGTTGTTCGACTGTGCGTCGGGAGGCGGACGACCAGACCGCACCGGTGTACTTAAAAGGAAAGCGGCGCTTGTCTACATATGGCATGATTGAGGAAACCCAGCATTCGCGTCGGAACCATGACCTAGTTGAGGTCACGTGACAGCGCCGCCATGCACAGCTAAAATTAAGTTATTTTGCAGTGAGGAGATGGTGGAATTCTACGCAAGTTTGGCAAGGATGGGCTGGGATGCTGGCTGTCGCAGATGAGCCAGTGACTCATAATCGTGATCCCAGGTGAGGTGCCGTCCGCGTCCATCCTGGCCGCTTGCTCTCGTCACAGTGACGTCACGAGTCCTATCGCGCCGACTCAACGACTCAACGTCCACCTTAATACTTTATCGTGTTCCCGAAGAGAGCAATCAAAGAAAATAACAAAGACATCAGAAAATAAATCCAATAGCGTCAGAGCGAAAAATGTTGCTCGAAGAGTTCTCCGTTCTTCGTGAAATGGAACCCTTGTGCA